CTTCTTATAGCAGTATTAAATGATTTAATTAACTAAATTTTATAATTTTCAATACAATACAATTGAAATACATAATAGATATAATAAATATATATAATATATCTAATAAAAAATATACATAATATACAATGTATTCAAAACAATTTGAAATATATAATAGATTGAAATTCATTCCGTAGAAAAATATATGAAATTTTATGTGCAAGAAGATACTTCGCGACAGGCAGATTTTTGAATCAAGGCAACAAATTTGAACACTGCTTTCGCATTTTCGAGAATGTGCATTGATAAAGAAATCGCCTAAAATTGTTTTTATTAGTATTTAATTTAGAGTTAATTGTTTAATTTTGGTTGTTTTAGTCAATTGTTAGATTTCATATCTTTTTTAATAAATTCAATTCTTTGTCTTTATTCTCTTGCAATTGCAACAATTTCTGAAAGAGTAGTGTCATTACAATTTGATATAAAATAATGCAATAGTCCGTTAGATACAAATTACATAAATTAATCATTCTTTTAGTTCAGGATTTTCAGGTTTAACCCCTTCCGTGTTCATTGTCAGGATCTCACTCACGTGTTCAGGTGCTACTTGAGTGAGTGAAAGACATTGGGCACGATGACCATAGTTTGTATAATTTTATAAAAAATTTCTCAGCGACTGACAGTGTGTTAGCGTATCGTGCACGACGTACTTTTCGCATGTGTGTGTGTGGTTAGGATGTGGAATTGCGTCGTTTCTATTGTTGCATTCATTATAAGTTGAAATATCTAAAATATTTATGCACTAATTTAAAGAATTATGAATTTATTATCATAATATCATATTACATTATTATTATTATAACTATACTATACTATAATTACATTATTATTATTATAACTATACTATCAATTATAATAATGATTTCAATGAAGTCAACTTGCACGTGTAATTTCTATAGAAATTATAAGTATTTTTTCTCGGTTATTAATATTAGCTGTAAATATAAACGTATTTTAATCACGTTTTACGCAATGGTCGCTAGCTATTGTCAGTCGATTTCAGGAAAATGGTACGTAAATTAGAGTGTGAAAGTTGTGTGTTAAACTCGGATGTCGGAGGCGTCCCGGGACGTTCTCTCTAGTTTAGGTTTGCGCCCGAGTGGTATGTGTGAGAACCGTGGAGTGAATGTGTTGGTGTGCCTGTTTTGCCATTTTTTAAATATAGGGCGACTGTTAGGATAGGTAGCATACTTTCTGGTGTGAATGTATTTAATTATAAGTAGGTAGGGCCGGGCAGGTTGGCACAGTCTCTGGTCGCGTGTCCCCCTTTCGCGTGTCCAACCTGTTTCAGGTAATTTAATTTGAAAAATCGACAGTGAAATTGGTGCAAATGGAACATGCCACTTGTTTCTGGTTTTACTCTTCGATTTTTCGAATTTAGTATCGCGGTCGTGGTCGCGNGATAGGTCGCGAGTAGGTCCCGAAACGAACGTTTATGTAGGTATTGCTCGAGCACGCACGTGCGAACGGACAACGATCACTGTGATCGATGGTCGTCCATGTGTATTGGGGTCAGCTTTCGCGGTTTATCTTTTCATTTCACCTTTGTAAGTTATTTTTTGGTTTGCGATTAGAAAGACTCGAGCTAGACGTAAGTTTCAGCGGGCATTGCGCTCGAAGAAAGAAGAGGCTGAAAGCCGAAGAGGCCCGGCAAACTGCCATGAAGAGGGTCACAACAAATGGCTTCTCATCCTCTGGATCATTTAAATGATTCCAGAGCATGGGAAGTCATTCTCGTTACTACTTTGTCACTATGCTCGTTTAGTACTTGTAGTTGTATTTTTTTTTCCTTTTTTCATCGCCGTTCATCGACGTTTTGGGCAAATCGCGGTTTTTCTTTGTAGTGTTGCGAGAGATTGATTACGGTTTAAATTAGAGCTGCGAAGAAATGATAATCGTGTTTGCTTTAGAATTGCGAATTATGATATCGCGATTGTTTTTTGCAATTTTTATCATTAATTTTCACAGTTATCTTAGTATTATGTAAATTTGTTTTGCTTTCTCTTGTTTTAAATTATATTATAGAATCATTGCTTTGTTAGATTATTCATTATTATTTTTTCTTCGTACAGTAGTTTTTATATTGTTATTCAATTTTCATTGAATTTGGTTTTAGTGTTAGTGTTGCGATATTATTTCATCGCGATTTTCAATTACTTTTATTCTTAGTGTCGCGATTTCCAATTAGTTTTCCTCTAATTGTTAGTGTTGCGATAACGAATGATCGCGTTTTTTGATGTAGCGTTGCGTTTACGAAATGCCCAAATTCTTCCACTGGATTCGTGGAAGGCTGTTTCTGTTCCTGGTTCACCTAATGCAGCTACAAGAGCTGTATAGACGTGGTCATTCATCAGCAACTTCTAGCATGGTTGCATTGGACGTATCATAATTAGTATTGCTTATTTCTACAGATGAGTGCATAAATTAATAGCGTTGCGCATTTATTTTCGGGAGTTTTAAATATGACGAAGCACTCTTCGCGTTTGATTTTAAAAATTTCTTGTTTCACAATTAATGCTAGAGAATTAGTGTTGCGAAACAAGATATAGTTTGTTGCTCGGATTCATGTCAAATATAGATTTGACCAAAGCCTTGCTGATTATCAATTTTAGAAAATATTTTTTTAGTAGCATTTCTGGCTATTGTATCGCGATTTCTTTTTCAGTGGCTCTTCTAGGTATTATTTTAGATTTTCTTATTATTGAAAGTACTGCTAAAAAATATATATTTTTTTATTAGCTATAACTTTGCTAAATTTTATTATAAATTTAATGTATTTACATGTATGAAAATGTAACAGATTTCATGTGTCATATGTATATATAAAATAAAGTGAGGCAAGTATTGCAACAGTGTATTTAAATATCACAATGAAAATTGGTACAAAGTCTTTTTAGAAAGTAATTAAATCAATATTTTGTAAAATATTAGCTTTTGAACTATTATTTAATTAGTATCCAATTTATTGTTATTAAAGTCAAGAATAATGATCGTTCGTTATCAGAGTTATTTTGTTACTATTTTCTTTTATTTTCTCTATTCTAAATGTTTCAACAATAAAGTGTTTTATAAACATTCGAATTTCATATGCATAAATGAAAGTTTATTCGCAGTTCTTTCTATTCTTCGTGCTACATTACGAGTAAATGAAAGTTGAGAAATAAATCAAAGTGTGATTTTAATTGAACCTTCTTTCATCTTTATATCAAAGATAAATTTTGACTTATTTAGTCTAATTTAAATTCAATCACTAGAGTTTCTTGCTTTTAATTATAATTTAAGTTCAGTTAATAAAATGTAATTATGAAATAATATCTTAACAGCAACCCGATTTTTTGTAATACGTCTTCATTGATCTTTTTATTTAAATTACAATACTAATCCATATAAGCTTGTTTCAGATTTATTAATTTGTAGAGAGTGTTAGTTACAGAAAATGTACAAAGATATGTACACTGAAAGTTTAAAAAATGGAATATATATTAAATGAAGTGACTAAGAGGAAAAAATTATTATAACAAAATATTGTAACAAAATAAGTAATGGTTATATTTTACTAATATTTTTCAGGTTTTTAGATTTGTTTTAGGAATCCACAGATTGTGGAATCAACAGAAGAAGATTTCATATAAAAGAACAAATTAAAAACTCATTGGAAGAAAATTTCATATAACATTCACTTTATTTCTTTTTAATTATATTTATGTATTTATATGAATAGTATGAATGAAAATCGCTAAATATTTTGTAGGTATGCTAAGTTAGGCTAAGTTAGACTTAATTAGGTAGTTTTAAATTGGGTATTGTGTTGATGTGTTGTGTTGTGCTGTGTTAGTTTTAAATTGATTATTAGATTTAAGGGTAAGCATGATAATTCTAAATATGTAAGATGCGTTACTATCTAAGTGCATTTTTAACTATTGTTATATATAGTTGAAGCTGTGTCTCATATAGAGTTATGTAGTTAGTTTAAACTTTAATATAATTCCTATTTTCATAAAAATTTAATTTTCCGCGTCGGTTTTCTTTCTTTCTTTATTGTCTGGCTTGCACAATGATTGAGATTTTTTCAAAAATCATGTTGTGCAAGCGTACAGAGGAAGAACTATTTATTCATAAATTCATGTTTTAAATTAGAAAATTTTTGTTCACAAAAGGAGGGTGGATGACTTACGTGGTGAGACATGGGCTATCGGTATTATTTGACATATAATTACTAATTGCATTATTGTATAGCTAAACAATTAATTATATAACTAACATAATTATTAATTATATGGCAAGTAATACGAGTTAATCGGCTGCGATCTTGGTTTGTGTAGATATCTATTAAGCATATCCATTAAATTAATGAAAGGTAAACATTATGTAGTTTTGACGTGATCATGAATGATGAATATGTGTCACGTGAATATGAATAATGATCATATTTGTAGATAAGAGTTGTTCTTTCTTCTTCTTTTTAATCATATTATATCAAACTTCTGATAAAATTTATTTGATCTGATAGGTTCTATTCTTTAATAATTTTAGAACATTTATTTACGTGAAACCATTGTAATATCGTAAAACATGGAGCTCTTCTTGATATATAGTAAAATGATTTCGATTAGTTACTTTACATTTCTGTATTGAGAATTTGACACTGTAATGAATTTCAAAAATTATGTTTCTGGCACATTCACTACTTGAAGTTCGATCATTTTACTTGATTCCCTAATTTATCATTGTTTAAGCGTACAGTGCGCTAAAAAGAAACCACTGAGTTTTTTCATGCCAGAGCACGGAACACGAAATTCTGAATTCTAAATTTCAATGCATTATGCTTGTTTTAAAAAATTATCCGAAACAATGTCTTCATTATTTGTCATTGTAACAGTTTTTCTCACAGATGAGAAAGAAATTCAGATTCGAAAGGATTAAATAATCGATCGGTATTCTCTATAGGATGTATTTTATTTACAAAACTTTATAACAACGATATAATTAAAAATTAACGAGAATCTTCCATTATTGATGAATTTACACTGTAAACGATTAAAATTGCAATCACAAAGTGGAAATGTGAGACACGGTTGTAGATTGGAAAACGAAGAAGAGGCAGGCGAGAAGAAGGTAAGAGTAAAATGTGGAATTCGTGGAATGTTTCATGCTGATCGTTGCTCGATCCAAAAGGCACTTCGATGTTTTTGCGAATGAACAATTTCATTCATTTTATACCACGAGAATGTCATCCTTTTGTGCTGGACCATCCGGTAATCTTTGATTGTATATCCGAATATTGTGAAACAGATAGCCAAGTGAATCCATTACTGGTCTCACGATGGCCTGTGTGGCAGAAGCGAGGAAATTTCTTGTCGCTGCGCAGGTGATCTTCCAAACGCGGAGACATGGCGCCATACACCATATATGCTAGAAGTTTTCGTTTGTTAATCATTTTCCTTTCAATTCGATGATCAAGATCAGTAACAAGTTAGTCATAACACAAATATTCTGAATGTACATTCTCATTCACGTTTACAGCGGAACTACGATAGAAGCTAAGATCTCTTGAAATTTTGTCGTTTAACTCTGATATTTGAAATTTAATAAAATGACGAACAAAAATCGCACGGCAAGTTTCAATGAGTTGATATAAAGAGAGGACTTTAATCTTCAAGATTCTGTGGAGATAATCTTCAAGAAAAAACCAGAGAGATTTTTCACTTTACTTTTCTTTATTAATTATTTCCTTCCACTTTCCATGTTTTTACATCTAATATTAATTTAAATTCTTTTAAGTACAATCCTTGGAACACAAAATGGAAAAATCTATCTAACCGAACACTGTACGTCATTAAACTATGAAACATTAAGAAAATTAGTATACTATGCCACGATTGGAGTATGTTTGAAAAAAAAAAAAAAGAAAAAACGAAATTTTCGAGACGTCTTCACGCAGAAATAATATAAACCAAAGAAATTCCTTCATCGGAGGTAGATGGTGAAAGCAATCTACATACATTTTCAACAAACTGAGAAACTATTGCGATAATGTTCGCACAATGGTCGTGTGGAGGTGGTGAGTAGCACCGATCGATTAGGAAATGAAGAAAAAGGTCGACGACTTACCTGAAACGCGAGGCAGGCAAAGGTGAAACCGAAACAAAGAGCTAGTAGCGGTGCTATAAGGACGGAGAGAAACACGTAACAACAACTTCTGGATAACCGGAAGCAGTGGCCACTTAGTCGCCACGCGCACTCTGGACTGCGTATTCCTTCCGGTTCCCCAATCACGTCATCCCACATCACCTGTACGTACATTGTAATATTTCAATATTTTCTTAATAACATTGTAATAATAATACTTTATTATATTTCAATATTTTCATGTATGTACATTGTAGTAATAATACTTTATAATATTTCAATATTTCCTTAATAACATACTTTTCAATATAATTTATATACTGAGCAAAATATATTGAAACAGTATATATTAAACATATATTAAAACATATACAGACAGCATATGTTTTAATATAATTCAACATCTCAATATTTTTTCGGTATGTTTATGCATTTCAATACAATTTCACATTTTAATATTAGATTCAATGTTTCTTACGCGTGTTTCAATGTTTTTTAAAGTTCAGTTTAATTTTCTATGTCTACTTTCTTTTATACGACATATCTATGGGGAGGTACTCTAGAGTAAGTCGGGACGTTCTACGATCTACGGCAAGAAGCTTTTTTTAAATGCCAAGGTTACTCTACACTACAGTCCTACACTCCTACATTTAATGGTCAAGTTCGCGTGTTTGATTCGCGATCACGACGCTAATCTCGATATTTTGAAGCCCCTTCAGTTTCGGGTTCAATAAAAAAATTGAACAAAACTACCAAGATACACCAGCTTCTAAAATCCTTCAAGCACATATACATATTTTTACTGAATATTAATACATATTTTTTCTGAAGTCTTTTTTCATAATAATACATAATACATATTTCTTCTTAGATACCGAGTTTTGTCCTTATCTTATGAAACCTCCGATTCAACATGGTACTCACAAATAAATTTTCAATCTATCCCTTTCAATTCTAAAATATTAATTACAGCAGGACTTCATTTAATTGAACTTGTTCGAAGATAAATAGTCCATGTAGATAATTGAAATCCAATTTTCCTTACGTATTTACATAATTCCGGGCAGTAGCAGATCTAATTCTTGTGAAGCTAACAGTCATTTAATTTTGAGATTCATGAGATAAAGCAAATAGCAATTAATTTTACAACATCCTTGTTGCAAAAATTAACATACTAATAAATAGATAATAATAAAAGAATATAATAGGAAAGTATGTAGTCAGTAATTGTAAGAATGTCACTCTCGTATAGACAAATTGTTTTATAGTTATCATACGACAACGATTTAATTACATCATTTTCAATTGAGAGAATCATTAAAAAATTCAATCGTTTCTCGAATACTTCTACAAGTTCTATTATATTTATTGTTTGTTATTGACACTTTGGAGAAAGTTTCCTTTGTTTTGCAAGTAGTAGTAAATATTGCTAAAAATATATCGATTCGGACATGGAGCTAGGTTAAAATTTTTATTCCGATCTTTGAGTGCTAACAAGTGTATCATGTGCAATTCTTGTTTTCAAACAAGTACTTTTGTACAATAATTCGAAGCTTGACGCTTATAGCGTCATTAGCGTCAAAGTAAATCCGTCTTTACTTTCTGATATATACTCCCTATTCGCATTCAAACAAGTGGATTGAATCGATAGGACTTTGTTAGATCTAAACTGCCGACTCCTGTATTTATAGTAAATTCAAAAGTACAAAAGCGAACATGTAAAAAAATACAAAATATGTGAATATTTCTCTGGTGGACGAGCAAAGGAGCATGCGTCATAATTATTAGTTTTATAAAAAAAATATTTCTATTACAAAATGATACTTTTAGTTTTATAAATATAATATTTAATGTATAATTTAGATTTAAATTTAATTTCAATGATGGTATATGTCGTATAACTATTACTATACTTGATTACTTCTTTTTTTTTTTAAATGATGACTTATCTCAGTTTGACCATAAGTTGATTACTATATCAAAGACTGAAGTTTTAAAACAAACAAGTTCAGTTTTTTTATTAAAAATAAAATGAATTTTCTTTACGAAATAAATAGCTGCATTTTATTTAACGCATCACCACTAAATCACTAAATAAAAATATAACCACCTCAGTTTCTTATTTCTCAATCTTCTTTACAAAAAATTACATTCAAGTTCTTACTCATATTCATATTCTTTTAATTGATATCCTAGAGATCTTAGTACTAAAGTACTAAGTCTTAGTAATAAAAATCTTATCGTACCAAGAGAATGGAATAATATTATAAATTTTATTGTAACGATAACGTACCTGAAGATGCTTGTTCAAGCTGTTGGGATCCCGATCCTCAAGCTCCACGTTGCTCTCATCCCCGTTGGAGGACTCGGGCTTCTCCATCGCTGGAAAGCGAAAACTATGACACTTTGGCAGGGAACACTTAAACATACGCCTAAAACGCGACATTCTGTCTTCCTATTCCCTATTTATCTTATAATCCGTGTAATCAGAGGCGACTTTACGTGCCTATTGCGTCGAGTAGCCACAGTCAAGTGCGTCGCCATCGCGGAAATACGACGGGCTACCGCGGGAAACCACCGGGCGATCTATAAGACGCCATTGATTTTCCTCGTGTTAAATAATTCACGGTGCATCCAGCGATGGTGTGTCAATGCCAGGATCGCTGGCCTCGGGCATAATCGAGGGACTTGTTGCCATCTTGACGCGATTTCTCCAGAAACGTGCAGGTTTAAGGGTGGACGTTATGGGTCGCCGCGGGTTACGCGACATCGTAATCATAAGTATCGATTCTGTTGCGACTCGAGTTTCTTAGAATAAAAGCACAGCGAGCATATTTACGTAGAGGTGTAATTAATTATTCAGACTGGGGAAACAAAGTACAGTAAAAATTCGTTTATACATACTGGACGTATCATTGTCAGATATATGAACTTGTTGACTTGATTAACTTCCGTTCTTCTTGTCTAATATACCTGTTTTTCAACAAGTGACAAGGAAAATGACACGAATGCAATAGTAACGATTTCACAGGCTGTTGTTAAGGAAACGATATTTTTCGTAGACATATATTATAGTACAAATTTTTGTACGAATCGAATTATTGATTTCGAGATATTCCGTCGTGACATCTTATCAGGATTCTTTATTGTGGTGAATGATAGTGCATGATTAATGAAAATGCGGTGTATCTTAGAAAGAAAGACCATTGTGTGAAAGATAAAAAATAGACTTTTTGGTAAAAGGATATTTTTTTAAGGAGATTTGGAAGAACAGTTCTGCACAGATCTGCGAGTAAGGAAAAAACGCCGCATGTGATAACTTTATTAATTAAATTGTACAGGATTTATTGTATTTACGGCGAAAAAATGCATGAAAATAAATACTCAGAAGCAAAGTAAACAAGGAGATATTGTTAATAAAAAGAACTAGCGTTGTTTAAATGATAATATCTCAAAAATTAAACACGAGACGTTTTTCCATACAATCATAGGAATAAAATTTGAAGGGAATTCTATTATCCGAACTCTTTCAACATTGTTTGAACGAGGTTTTATTGTAATTAAAACAAATTCGATACTGTTCAGCTAGCCATGAACACTCTAAATATTTCTTTCTAAGAATAGGAATTTTATCCTAAGGATAAGATCCTAGTGAATAGGTTTAGCTTGGCTCGACTGTCCAATTACACAGCGAGGAAGTTGACCGATCAACTCGCTTATCAATAGAAATGAATAATTAACTGAATAGTCAATTACTATGTCGCGATTTAAAGTTGCTCATTATTTTCACCCTTAGATGCGAATGTTGGCCGAATGACTTAAAAAAATTAGCTTCCAAGTCTTCATGTTTACAATTGTATGATTCTTATTTTTTATGATTGTTTTTTTTTTTTATTTCAAGCTGATTTTCAGGGCTGTTTTAACTCCTTGGTTCGTAATATCAAGTCACAACAGTGATACGAACGTCAATTTGAAAGAAAAACAAATTACGCTTCTGTGAGACATAAATTCGGAAACCAGGAAAATTGCAAATTATATAAATAATAAATAATAAATAATACATATAAACAAACACATTTAAATATAAATCATATAAAATCATGTTTCAATATTTTACATCTGACATGATATAACACATTGTAGTAAGAAGATTGGAAAGACAATCGTGAGGATATATATTAAGTACAATAATTTTTTTGTACTCTTTACGTAAAACTACATATAAATAATATTCATAATATAGCATTTAATAGTACTTGTAGTTTGTATTTTAATAAAACTGGTATTTTAAAGCACCTTCAGAAGCATAAATAATTTCAACTTTTGTATGCTACGTAAATAATCTGAATAATCTTTATTAGATAAATACTCTCAACGTTTGTATACTATGAATTGGAAACCAATGTGGAGTAAGATGAATTTTTAATGATACATAGGAGTAACAGAAAGTCATTCGTAACTATCGATCAGTAATTTCAGATTCTCATGAAGATCGACATTGACTATTAATTATGCAGTGCTTTTCCGATCCCGTGTATTGAATACCTGTTCGCTCATTTTGTTTCGTTTAATCTGTATTACGATTTGCAATTTTCATTCCTATTCTGAACAATGTATAATCGATTAAGGACTAAACAATAATTTATCATACTTCCATACAAATGCTTTCTTGAAATTTTGTAAAATTATAAAAACCAATTGCAAGTGTCAATCATAATGAAAAAATATTAAATAAATTCGCGGAATTTCCTTTTATACACCATATTTAGGAGTGATATTAAGAAATATAATTTAACAATGTTACTCGATTAAAAAAAAAAAAAAAAGAATTGTAAATGAAATGTTGCGTCAACGCGACGTTATTCCTTAATAATATTCATCGTAACGAAATTTTATAACGAAACAAAATAACTTCCTTTTCACATGGGAATTCGTTAGTTTAATGCCCGTATGGTCACAAAAGTAAATAAAAGTATTACTCACCGGACTCCCCGTTTGCAACTCGTGATCCTCTTATTTTGATTGATTGTGTTTTCCACTGGGTTCACCAAATAGTATACCTCTTTGCGGTTCACGCCGTTGATTTCGTCCCCTCGATCGTGAAAGTGTGAGAAGAAACCGCGACAAGCGGTTTAGCGGCCGGACAATGGTCAGCGCGGCTGCGCGTTCCGCTTCAACCCTCTTCGCGTCTTGCGACGCATCGTACGACTACCCCGACGAAACGAAAGTGAATGGCCCGTCGCCTAGAGCGTGTATGTATGTACGTTCAAAACGCGACACTGCGTTCGATAAAAGCGACTATTGGGGAGGAAATGTTCAGTAACCCGTGTGTGTTGTTATCGAAGGCAGATTATTCGGTTCCTCGGTTGAGTGTTGAAGCTCAGATAGCTTGAAGAAACGAAAAAATCGTGGTCGAAGCATTCTCCATTGAATCGCGTAATTAAATACACGAAAACCATCTAATTTAAAACTTTGTCAGACTTTTTATTAGCATGAAGAAGTTACTCCAGAACATTATGATTGAGGCTAACGGTTCACCCACTTTTTCATGTCGATAAAAAGTTCTAACGGCCATGCTCGATCATTGTTAATATTTTTGCTGTCATTCCCGGTCGACGGGTCTGTTTTGTTTAGAGTTTCATAACATAATTTTCGAATTAACGCTACCTAGATCCGAGCAATCGAACGGCCCATGCTTCAAATTGATTGGTGGCAATTCGCCAGCCAAAGTCTATAAAACACTCCCGTGTCAGATATAGTCGTGAGATAATCATCAGAGCACATAGATAGTAAAAATTCGCGAAATACAGATCTATTTTTAATTTAAAATCGATCATTAACTATGGGGGAACATCCCATTTAACGTATCTGCACAAAATTAAGTTTGAGTGTAGACAGCTCGTTCGAGTCAGTCCCAAGCTTATGAGAATATATAATTTGATGACATAATTTGGGGAATTTTTATAATTATTTGTTTTTTTCTTTACGACAATGAGAGCATTGAGAATTTAAGAATCGACTTTATTCTTTTCTTTCTTTCTTTTTTTTTTGCGACGACGATTGAAATGATTTTTAAAATTTTTGCTCTGTTTCATCTTGAAACTTTGTCCATTTTTTTCACATTATGTAGATTTTCTTGAAAATTTTCCTGCATGTTATTTCAACTTTCTTGCTTTATTTTTACACGTAATATTATTTTTAAGTATTTCTTTCAGAGAGTATAGGCCTTGATATGTCTTAGGGGTTTCTTTTCAATATTCTGTTTATATTAAAATTCCAGCTGATAAGATAAAAAAAGATTTCTTTTATTACTGTATCTGAGACATGAGACTAACGGGTTTTCGAACGAGAAATATATACTCTTCATAAGTACAATGAATTCACAATACAAGGATAAAATAGTATCTATCTTTCATTACTTTAGATAAGAATATTCTAAATATTCGGAAACATATTTTTATATGATGAAAGAAAAAAGAAATTTTTTCGAGGTATTTTATAGCGTATCAAGAAAGTTTAAATACAAGTTTTTTTGAATCATCATAGTAGAGTGCGCTGAAAAACCAATGATGATTTTCCCGATCGGTATTTCAGACTCTGAAACACGAAATCTCATTTTATGTCAGGTCTATCTTACTCTTAATCAATGGTACGACGTTCGTGTCTATTTTGCATTTAGTCAATGATAAAATTATTCTCTCTGTTAGAGATAACACGCTGAGATCACCACTTCAGTTCTCTATCAACTAGGAAAATGGCAACTTTCACGTGGAGATTTTTATTGAAATGCAGTCGATTTTCTTGTGAAACTTCATTGAGACGTATCCTTTTTTTATTTCGTGTAAATGCAATTACACTACTAAATTATTGTCTGCAAATTATTTTCTAAAATATTGTCTACAAGTTCTGACTCTTTTTTTAAGTTATATTTACTGTTATTATTCTTAATGAACTGTTTAATTAAAATTATCAGAGGTCTCAAAGACGGCTGGAATCAGAAGAAAATGTGAGCCTTCTTTTTTTTTTTTATTTAATGATTTTTGTTTTATTTTTCACTTAGGTTACTTCTATCGTCTGGAAATTTTCCAATTGATCACCAGGCGGCAGCACGTGCCGGAGATTGAGATATGCATTATGTAACGCGGAGGAACAGTAAATTCGCATTAGTATTTGGACATCATGGATCTTATTGTTATAGATGTTTGTTTGTAATTCAATTAACTAAGTATTTGATTTTGTTAATATTACAACAAATATTATAATTGAGAGAAACATGTATCTTATACACTTTTATGTAACAAAAATATTCTAAAAGTTTAATGCGAGTCGCTGTAAAGATATTGATGTAGTTATTAGTTTAATCTTTCAGTTAAAAAAAAAAATGAAACACTATAAAACACAAATTAGCACTTTTATACTCTTATAAGTTTTAATTTAATTTATAAGTCATAGATAAAACGCAGAGTAGTATTATTAAAATACTTTAATATCTGTATAAATGGCTATAATTTTAAGAAAAAGGACAGTTTATTATTAAAAAAATACTAATTTTAAATATTTTTAAAAAATCAATTAATCGAGTTATTAAAAAAGCTCCATTTGCAAAATATTGTTCAAAATTTCAAGATACTCGGATACATAACTTTAGAGAATCCGTTATATAAACTCGTCTGGAAATATAATTTCGAGGAAATATAAAAGTTTAACATTTTTCTTACTGAAATTCGTGAATACATATATTTTTATATTTTACTATATTATAACTTAAATTATTGTAACTTTGCCAGGAGTTTAAGTTTTGTTAAACTACTTTGACACAATATTCTGTATATCTATAACTTTAAGCAAATTAACAAGTGAAAGTTTAATTTTTTAAATTGCGAAGGGAAGATGTCCTTAAAATATTACTTAACTTTTATTTTGCAAATAAGGAATGCTCTGAATTTTTATACGCCAATTTAAAAATAAATAATTTCAACGATCATCTCTTCCATGAAACGAGACAGCTACGTTCAGTTGGGAAGATCCATTCCATCTTGAGTCTCAGCTCACGCAGGATGAGATCCTGGTCAGGGATCAGTTTCGATCTTACTGTCGCGAGAAACTCTTGCCTCGTGTACTCGAGGCAAATCGTAAAGAAATCTTCCACAAAGAGATTATGAGGGAAATGGGTCAATTGGGCGTTCTGGGCTGTACTATGAAGGGTTATGGCGCAGCTGGTGTTTCCTCTGTAGCCTATGGACTCTTAGCGAAAGAAATCGAGGCCGTGGATAGCGGATACAGATCTGCTTTATCGGTACAATCTTCTTTGGTTGCTGGCGCCATTTATACTCACGGAGATGAGACACAAAAGCAACGATTCTTGCCGAAATTGGGTAATTAAGTATTTATGTTTGAGAATGAAAAAAAGTAATACGACCTATGAATGACTGAGAACAGGGAGGGATGATGTAAAATAAGAATGAGGAGGGATTAGGGTTTATGAATGATTGGTAGATGTGGATTTTTATGCATCTGTAGGAAATTTTAAACTATAAAATTACACAGAATGTAAAAAAATATATAAAATATCCAAATTGTAGTGCTTTTTATAATGTTTAATGCGCAAAATAATTTTCTGCTGGCGTTCTATCTTTTCTAGTTATATTTTCAAAAATGCGAATTTGCATAAAAATCCAGACTCTAATGATTGGATATGAAAAATTTCGCAAGTTTTATAGAATAACGTAAAGTTTAGAATGATCGACATAGAAAATGATTATTCTTTATCATTAAAATTTCATTTATTTTCTGTTGTAGAAATATAGAAAGTGTTTTTAACTTTTTCTAATATATATATTGATACTGAATTACGTATGATGATATTTAAAATATGAAATTTATGATATTAAAATATACTTAATGATTTGTCGTCTTGTAAAAAGATTAAGATTAAGATTAACTCTTCATTACCTAGAGATTCATTACCTAAGATTTCATAATGAAATTAATAATTATTGAACTTGAATTATTTATTGAATTATACAATGTATATATAACGTATATACAATGCAATTATTTTTGTGCATTAATGATAAAAGATCCTAAGCATAATTTAACAATAATTAATATATCAGAAAACATAGAATAAAAATATAAAATAATACAGAAAGTGAAATAGGGATAAACGAAAATTAGAAGCAGTCTTATAGATTATATTATAGTGAATGATTGTATGGAGTTTGTTGTTATGAAGTTTATTATTATCAAAGTATTTTCTCTAAATTTTCTCATTATTTCCAGTGTCTGGTGAATTAATCGGTTGTTTCGGTTTAACTGAGCCTAACTATGGAAGTGATCCAGGTTCCATGGTGACCAAGGCAACTTATGATTCTGACAGGAAGGTTTATAAACTTAACGGAAGTAAAACATGGTAAGCTTTTCACAGAATAGAACTCAACTATTTCATACGTATTTTTCTAAAATCAAAATTAAAAAATTTCATTCCATAAAAAATTTTCCTGCGTGTATACTTTGTTGCAATATTATCTGTTGTAATAATACAAAACCATGGTGTTATTTATAATCATTGCAAATAAAATAATTGTTTATTTTTAGAATAAAAAACATGTATTATGATAAAATTTCATTTCTGATAGCATAAATATGATTTCCTTTACTGATTAAACTGTTTAAAAATTTAATATTGGAAATGAATTTTTCAATAATAAAATTTTTATAGTATGATTGTACAAATTATCTGTGTATTATTCAATTATATTATTGGTGTTATTTTAGAAAATTAAGTTTTAAATTTCTATGGATAATTCCGTTTTTTTTTTTTTTCTTTGATAATTTCATATAATTTAGGATCACAAATTCACCGATCGCCGATATACTAATCATTTGGGCCAAATGCGAAGATGGTGTCATTCGAGGATTCATCGTTGAGAGAAAGGGCAACGAGAATCGTCTATCTACTCCAAAAATCGAAGGTAAATTTTCATTAAGAGCCTCTGTCACTGGCATGATCCTGATGGACAACGTGGAGGTACCTTCGGAGAATCTACTATTAAACGCTCAAGGTCTCAAAGTAAGTTTAATATCGATTTGTGGATATTTTAAACCATGGATATTTTAAATTACTTTTTTGTATTATTAACTATATATACAGGGTGTTTCGTAACTTGTGGGACCCACTTCGGGAGCTGATTGTACGCCTAAAAATAATGAAAAGAAGTCATATAAATATATGTCCTATCTGTCTTCGTTTATGAGATATAATGAATTTTCTGTTTTAATTACTTTTACAAAAGATGCTCGGAATGACCACCTTGCATTTAAAGACAAGCCTGCACGCGTCTTGTCATTGATCTGCTTACTCTCTCTATCATTCCTGGTATTTCTCGAATTTGTCGGAAGCCTTGCTCTATTCTAATTCGTAGTATTTTAGCATTTTCAATCGATGTTGCGTACACAATAGATTTTAAATGTCCCCACAAATAAAAATCTAATGGATTCAAACCCGGAGAACGAGCAGGCAATAGGACCTCCACGACCAATCCATTTATTTGCAAAGTGTTGATTTAAAAATTGCCTAGCCACTCGGCCAAAAGGCGGCGGAGCTTCATCACGCGTGCTCAAAAAATTAACGTACTTTGTGCCTGTTAGTTTCCCATGAAGAAAAAAAGGTCCAATTAAAAATTTATCAATTATTCCTGCCCATACGTTTAAACTAAACTGGTGTTGATGTCTTGAATGCACAATAACATGTGGGTTTTCTTCATCCCAATTATGATTATTATGAAAATTGAATATACCATCCCTAGTAAAACTAGCTTCATCACTATTGCTGTCTATGAAAAGAGAGGCCGGACAGAGAGTTTGCTCTGTTTATAAAATTTATTATCTCTCATATAAGACTTTTTTTCATTATTTTTAAGCGTACAATCAACTCTCGAAGTGGGTTCCACAAGTTACGAAACACCCTGTATAAACAACTCTTGAAATATTGCAAAGATAGAGAAAAAGGAATTAAATTTTATTCTCAAAGAAATATTTACACAGGGACCATTCACTTGTTTGAATAATGCTCGATATGGAATCGCATGGGGAGCCTTGGGTGCTGCTGAAACTTGTTTAAATATCGCCAGATCGTATACTCTGGAAAGGAAGCAATTTAATAGGCCACTGGCGGCTAATCAATTAGTGCAGAAAAAGCTGTCCGACATGATGTGCGACATTGCATTTGGTCTTCAGGCTTGTCTGAGGGTAGGCAGGTTGAAGGACGAGGGCAAGTAAGCGTCTTTTGATTATTTCCCATCAAATAGAGCGCAAGTTTTAGATCTCAATTGATAGAGTTCTTTGAACCAAATTTCAGTTAGTAGTCCATTAATCTTTCTGTTACTAACGGTGATTATAATCTTGCGTAATTTTTAACATATCAACTAACAATAAGCCGTCGATCAGTTGTCGATCACTTCGAGATACCAAAATCCGAGCTCGACGAAAAAATATTGTGGCTTCTTACAATCAGTAACTTTTGACAGAATATTACTTCTTGTTAGCACCAAGGATTCGAGTTTATGGTAGGGATACGATTTAGAAGGCACGAATCTTTGCATTTTTATATTTTCATATCTTTTTGTAATTCTTAAAATTTGTCGCGTGAAAAATGAAAAACAGTGCAAATTTCAAGTGGTAATTCAGTAGCCAAAAATTGAAAAGAGTAAAAATAAAAAAAGGTAAAAAAATAAAATTGATTTGATTTGTATTATATCAGTTTGAGGATTTTCTTTCAAAAACCTCGCATGGGAATTGATATTTTGTGCTTATCTTTATCGTTAGAATTAATGTGATTATATTAATTAAATACAGTCTGTTTTTGATAATTACTAACATAATTTGTTTCTATCGATTGGGAGTTTTATTTCTATCGATATTCTGTGAATAGATATCCTTAGAGATAACATCTTCATTAATACGTTGACTGTCACAGTGACCATCGGCTGAAATATCTATTATTGACAAAAAAAATTTTAAATAACTGGATAATACCAAAAAATCAAAAATGCATTCTCGTTGTACTTTTACTGTAACATAATATTTTATAAAAATTAAATGTTCTGTACCATAGGTAAAATATATAAGTTTGATAGTCAACGTGTTAAAAATAAGATATTCAATGTCATTTTCGTCGATTGTCACCCTTGATTAATTAATTAATGCCAGATTACTTTGTACCTCTCTTAATAAAATTATGTATGTTAGAGCCTCACCTGAAATGATTTCCATGATAAAGAAGAATTCAGCTATGAAGGCTCTGGAAATCGCGAGACTTGCCAGAGACTTATTAGGTGGCAATGGAATATCAGATGAGTATCATGTCATTAGACACGTAATGAATCTGGAAAGCGTTGTTACCTATGAAGGTATGCAAAGGAATGTTCGACCGTTAATTGTCTATGTAATATTAACTCTTTAGAAATGGATTAAAAACTATTATTTAATGTTATTTGTTGCAGGTACGGGCGATATCCATAGTTTGATACTCGGTAGAGCTATTACTGGTATACAAGCATTTTCTGCGTAAATCAGAATAGTGATTCAAAATAATTATTCATTATATAATTATGTACATATATATCTATTTTTGTACGAATTACATATTTGCAAAAAAAAAAAAAAAAAAATTTAGCCAAAAAAAGAAGAAAAAGAAAGGATCGTAAAATAAAAACAAAAAATGAAATGAAAGAAAGGACGTTGTTTGACTGAGTAAGAAAGAAACGAAAAGATCGAAGATGATTCGAATAGTTTTAGTGAAGTTTGGTTTCAGGTTTCTCTTAATTTTTATTTCGACACTGTCGAATTGCACATTGTTCATCATCCTCCTCGTTCTTTTGTTCGATAGTCGAAAGGGAGCGTAAAACAACACACGAGCTTCACCTAAAGATCAATTGTTCAACAAGGGCGTGCCACAACACAAGCGACTCCGATTAATCATAAATAAATTAAGTTTAATTGCTAAGTAATAAAACGTTAATTACATATGTCAATGATAATTAATTTAAGTACAACACACGTCTCGTGCAAAAGTGTAAAGAAGTTTCTTTTTCGTGCTACACTCAATTACCATTTTTTTTTATATTTTTTTTTTTGTGTTTTTTATCTTTATCTTGTTTGTTTTGGTTTATTTGGTTTGGTTTGGTTTGGTTTGCCTCTCTCACCTCGACATAGGTTCTTCATTTACCTTTTCCCATCCTTTCTATCTGTCTGTGTATGCGTGTATTTCATGTCTCTGTGTCGCTGTGTGTACGGTATTTTTTTCTCTTTTTCTCTTTAAATGGTTCTCGACTACAATAAGCTCTTGGTAAAACGTAGTAACATCGTAGTTTACAATAGTTTACAATCGCCCTCCGCGCTACCTCGCGTGTCTCTATTACATAGTTACACGTTTCCTCATGCTGTAATCGAATTTCCCGCTCGATCGTTCGGTCCTCGATTGTCCTCTGTCATGTTCACGTTGTTTCTTATTTCTTTCGTCTATTTTCTTCTTTCTCTATTTTATATTGAATCAATAGCAAAGAAAAACAGGTCGAATTTCTCGTAAGTACTTTTGTTTAACAATCACGATACCATCGATTTCATCGGATTCTCGATCTCTGATCGGTCGATCGACGAGCGGACGCTAACAAACTGGTCACTTACAAGAAAAAACTAGCCTCTCGTCGATCTCCCCGACGGATCGATCCACTCGATCCTGCGAGAAACTTCGATTCCATCATTTACAAATTATCTGTTTCTCTGTCCCTCCCTCTCTGTCTCCTCCTCGTTTCACACATACACACACGCTCGCACATTCGTCCTCTCTATTCCGAAAATTTCGCTCGCAAAATCAACGACACGCCGCTATTCTTCTCGGATCAGGTTGGCGAATAGAGCCCTACGCTCTGCGTTATGTCTCATTCTCCCATTCACTCCCGCCCATTCGTCTTGTATTCGTGTATTCGTGTGTACGTGTGTCTGTGTGTCATTCACTAATGAATACGTAAGTGTAAACAATAAATAATGTATTTTTTTTTTTCATCTTTACTCGCGTAAAATCTACGATCCTTTGGTATGTCCACGCGGCGATCGTAATCGATCCGCGGTCATCGATCCAGCCGGTCGTCCTTTCGTCAGCGAGAAGAAAGGAAACGACGCCGCCAAAGCGAGGGACCGAGATCGATAACCCCTCCCCGATCCCCTCGTTTCAGCCACTTTCCACGCACTCTCGTACTCTTCCGTATTTTCCTTTTACTTCCTCAACTTCTTCCTCCCCCACCCACCCCCATTTTTCCAAATCGATCGTCTTTCTCAATCGCGCAGCTCCGCTCGTTTTCCGCTTCAAAAAAAAAAACAAAAAAAAAAAACCGTTTCGCGATCGTACGTAGCTGTACGTTGTCCCTCACAGTGCAGCGCATTTTCGCGTTTAAAAACTCTAAAAAGGAGCCTCGTCCCGTGAAAATTTCCCGTCCTTCGTTTCTTCTTCCTTAAACCCTTCCTTTCTCTCTTTCTCGCCTGCTCTCGTTCGATCTTTCATCCCCCTTTTTCACTTTCTACTGAAAGAGAGAATACGTTCGTTCTGTGATCTCGAAGATATTCCCTGCTTCGACAGTTCTCGAACCAAACCCACGAACCTTCCAGCTTGGATACCGACAAGATGAACCCTCGTATTATAATAAATATAATAATGTATACTTGCTTTTGCACTTGTATTTTACATTATTTCATCTCTGATTAACTAATCGATACCTTATTGTCGTACGAACCGTTCGCCTGTTCTCTTTATCCCCTTCATACCATCTTTTCTAGATTACTTTTTTTCTTCATTTTCGCTGATGGTTGTGTGCCTTATCCCCAGAACATTCGCCCAGAAAACTCACCGTCCCAGTCAACAGACAATTAGTTCATGAACGGCCTCGAAACGCGGCCACAGGTCCTCGGACTACATTTTACGTGGTTTCTGCTCTCGCTCGTGCTTTGCTCGCTATTCGCTTATAATTGGCTCATGAAGACTAGTGATACGATATCGTAGTGATTAATACGATCGACTAATTATATCATTACTTTGAATTGATATTTTTTTTTTTTTTTTTGACGAGGTCAGAAGTTTTCTTTCTCTTGCACTTTGCCAAAGATTCGAAGCATAGCGCTGTTTATGATAATTAAATAGTACGTCAACTGACATAATTCTAATCTGCTGGATATGTGTCGTGCAACGATTGAAACGATTATTGTATTAATCAAAATAGATAATTCCATCAAATTTTTTTTTTTTTCTAAATACGAACAAATAAGTCGTACACATAAAGATTTTGAAAAAGTGACAAACGCAAGTGGGGCAACGAGAAAGATTATCTCGTAAAAACCGAGAGCCCCGTTGAAGCGAATAGTAGTCGAGTAAAGAGCAAAAACCAGCCCCTTCCCTAAACCATTCGCCATCTTGATGCGTACTACATAATGATATAATATATTACTCAATGTCCATCCCCAAAACAATTCCATCCCCTGTCCAAGGACTAACTTTTTGCGGCTACGCTTGTTCCATTTTCTCACCCTTCTTACATCTTCCTCTAACCTGTCCGATTTCTCTCTCTCTCTCTCTCTCTTTCCTTCCCTCTCTTTCCTTCTCCTTCTCCCTTTCGTTCTTTTTTTTTTTTCTATCGATTTAAAACTCGCGCGCGCGACTTGCGTCGTTGCAATATAAAAAAACGCGTATACACACACGGACCCGAAATAGATTCTCTTAGTCTCTACGGTTAATTTTTTTTTTTCCTTATTTCCCTTCTTTATCGTTATTATTATTTCTGCCTTTTAATATATATATTTATATATTTATATATTTATATTTATAATATGTTCATTCGCCTACGTCTCGAGCTTCGTACGCCCCCGCCCCAACGCCCCCCGTTCGTACGGAGGAGTGTACATGCTCGTCGAAATATATTCGTTCCCCTATAAACCGCGCCTATCTTCGTCCAACGATCTCGATTCTCTGATTTCCCTTTCCTCTCCGGCCTCTTCTTTTATAGTTTACGGTGCTCACATGTGATCTCACCATTTTGCTTTATTCTCTCTGTTGCCGCTCGTTTCCCACCGTCGATCGTCGATTCCAGACGAGGTATCACGCATCGCGGACGCGTTACATAAATAGATCATCGATTTAGAGACGTCATTCTCTTTTTTCTCTTTTTCTTCTTCTCCCTCTCACGCTCGTATAGTTTTCATCCCCCTTTGCGTTCTTTCTCCGTGTGTCGTCCCGCGGTCCACTCCCGTCGCGTTCATTAAACTTAACGTGTACGAACAATCGTCGATCGATCGAAACCGTGGATCGATCGACGATCGAGCCCCCATTTGATCGCTGGGGTGTTTTTCTTCTATGCTAAATTATACATCCCTCCCCCGAGACTCATCCCCGCCCCCCCCACCCCGCCCATCCCGAACCTAACTAACCCCCGGCTGCCTGAAAATGGCAATTATATTTATATATATATTTATATATATATAATATATCATTCATTTATATTTATATTTATATTCATATTTATATTTATATATTTATATATATTTATATTTATATATAGTATATATATAATTATATACTATGTTCTTGCTTTACGTTTAGCGGGTTCTGTTACTCTTCTTATCTTTTTTTTTTTTTCTTTTTTTAACTTACTGTTCTGTCTCTCACCTCGCGCGTGTGTAACCTTAGCGTGCGTGTGTCCCCATCGGCTCCCCTATATTTTCCTACGATAAATCCCATCCCTTTGCTAACAAACCCCCCCTCCCCATCCCCCTCTCCGCCCTCCAAACTTCTGGTTCTCGAACTATCCCCCGTTGGTTTTTCTCGTTTTCTCAATCGAACGCGATGTCTCTTCCCCTTTATTCCCTCCTTTCATGACAGCTCCCTAGTTTCAGAAAATCCGACGAATAATTGCTCTCAGTCTCGCTCTTGCTCTCTTACTTTCCCTCTTTTTCCACACTCTCTGCTTGACAAAGAACGCGTTTACAGCATGTTTGTATTGAAAGAATCAATTGTATCTTTTTCTAGGTTACAATGATAAAACTCGCAATAATAATAATAATAATAATAATAATAATAGTGGGAATGACAGTAATATAAGTAATGATAATAATCATAATAATAGTAATAGCAATAATAAAAGAGGTGATGGCAATCCGCGTGATAATGATAATAACAGCAATAATAATCATCGCGTTCGCGAGTACAATTAATTAGTAATCGCAATTTAAACTCGTATTTACAGACTTATCGCGCAGATAGTTCTCTTATCGCGTTCTTTTATCTCCTTCCCGTGATTTCCCCGAATTTTTTCTAGACATATCTCCTCCTCCCCCCCCCCCCCCCCCCCCCCCCGAGTGAGTCACTCGGCGATCCTCCAATCGCGATTTCTCCCTCTTTTTAGTTTTGGTAGTCCTCCTCGCCTCAATTTCCGGTTTTTCGGCCTTCCTCTGAACGATGCGACGATTACTTTGTAGTCTGTATCGAGTTTACACTGGATTTTATGACACACGAAGATTGATATTACTAGCTGTTTCCGTAGTTTTTTTGTGAAATTGTCTAGAAAAAACTTACAATTCTTAACACTTCAAATTCTCTGATTTGTGGATTAATATTAATAACTGTGTAACTTGAGTATATACTCTGCGAATTTGCGTTTAAAAACTTAGTTTGTAATTTCTTGTCTAATTCTGCTTAAAGAAAAAAAAAAAAGAAAAGATGCTTGCATTGCACAAACAAAATTTCCAGGATCATCCACGTCTTTTTAAAATCTTTCGTCCTTACACTTTCCCTTGTTTTTATTTCAACCTTTTGTTCTCTCGTCTGATCAACTCTATAGTTCCATGGACATTCTTTGCATTTCCATAATCTTTAATCATTGTCTTTAACATTTAACATTCAACTCGTTTTTTTACTTTGAGAATGATGTTCAGCATCGAGCCAAGTGGTCTCGAACGTCGTTTCCAGTTCTGCTCGCGTTCAACAGTATCTAATCAAAGCTTTGTTTAATAAATTCGACGCATCGTTCGCGTGAATGTCTTCCCTGTCGGTATAGTTTTCTGTCAAGAACCACGATCGCGATGTCGCGGCGACGACAAATCGCGCCGTATGGAGAAACTTCCATGAAAGCTCGACGCTCTTACCTATCAGATCCCTTGCAAATCGTCATGATCTATCACGCCTTCAACCCCCAATGATACGCACACGCCACCAAAGACAATAGCACTTCATCGAAAACCCGGAGAATTAAATGTTTGTCCACGTGTATCACGATTCACGCGCAACATTCTTCAGTGTTGGTTTTGTGAAACAGCGACGCTCCCCTTATAGTTAATTAAACCGTTATTACAATAACATATGTTTACTTTGTACTATATATGATCTTATAATCGACGGCCGCGACGCACGCTTCCGTTTCCTCTTATTTCATCTGTGTAAGTTTCTTTTTTTTTTTCTTTTTCTCCATTTTGGTACGATTAGTTTTTCTAGAACTTCCGCCCTCTCTCTCTCCCTCTCTCTCTCTTTCGCCGTACGCGGTGACTCATGAACGATCAACCCCCCCCATTTCCAGATTTCTCTGCTGCGTTCCGTCGTTTGTTTATTTCTCGTTTCGTTGCATGCCGACCAGGGTCGAAGCTTTCCCTCTCTGTGGAAACGGTAAAGAAACTGAACGTCGATCGCGAGGAACCGAAAGAACACGGAACAAGAACTCGCGATTTCTCTAATTTCTATACAAATGCGTTAGTAACAGACTAGTACGGAATCGCTCATTCTCTCTCTTTCTCTTTCTCTCTCTATGCAGTGAGATCCGTGCAGACGAGTCGTCGTACACTGAACTAAATCAGACCGATCGAATGCGTTTATACCATTCCCTTTTGACACCTAAACGTCGTTAGGAAATTTTTCGTGCGATTTTCTCGAAACACTTCGAGAAACAAAGAAGGATTGAAATCACACGACAGAATCGCACGCAATAAACGAAAAAAGGAAAAAACCGCCGTTTTAAACGCAAGACGTTTTTCTTCAGCAAGTTCTTCAGCGAGGAATGGCTCGCGTGCAATCGGGAAACGCGAAAAAGCTAGTCTCTTCCTGGAACTCGGTTCCTTCTCCATCACCGCCTCACCGAATCGCGAAAATCTCTCTCGCTCCTTCTCTTTCTCTCTCTCTTTAATATGTACAATAGCACAGCACAATTGCGGTACGATATCGAGTGCGGTACGCAAAATTTCTCTCTCTCTCTCTCTTTCAATTTTTCTATCATTCTCACTCGCACACACACGCACATACACACACATACACTCGTTTATCTCTTGTCTCTATAGTTCACTCTGTTTCACGTATACGCGCGCGCGCGCGCGCGCGCTACATTCCCTGCGATTTCGCATGTCGTCGAACATCAAGACCACTAATTTCTCGCGAGCGATCAAGCTCCGTGTCCCGTTTGCTCCTCTTCTTCGTCGATTCGCACAAAACAGCGTCCACTCTGATATACAATGTTCATTAAACATACGTAGAATATATCACTTGGCACGTGCCAACTCTCGACACGATGCCACATTTGTTTCCTCTTTATTTCTCTCTCTCTCTCTTTTCTTTTCTTTTCATCTCACGTTAAATTAAGTTTCGGTGTCTCAGTGTCTCAAATATATGTGTGTATGTTTCGTATGTCGTGTGTTTGTGTGTTTGTGTATTTGTGTGTGTGTGTGTGAATTAGTATGAACGTGTATTAAGAAATGAAGCTGTTCTTTCGCGTCCTTTTTTTTTTCCTGGTTTTGACGGGTTCTTTCGGAGTGTGTTCCTTTAGCGACCAACGAGGACACAACGAGTCCCAACGCACCCTCTTTGACCATCGATCCTTGACCGCGCGAGTCTCTCCCTCCCCCTTTTCATTCGATTCCACGTTTCTCCGCATTTTTGGGATTCTTTCTCTTTTCCTTTTTTTTCTTTCTAAGCGCAATTCGAGGTCGCAGACGTGTTGCTGTTTCGAGAGTGGAAAAATTTGGGAATTTGGGAGAAAAAAAGGTTCGATCATGGGGACTTACGGGTTTCGTTTCAGGGAGAAGATTGAAAAGAACAGTTTGTTTATGTTCGTAAGGATGGTCTGAAACAGCGACGTGAATCTTCCTCGATTATTACAACGATTCTCTTTTTTCTTCTTCTTTTAAATATAAATTATAGATTTTTCTTTTTTTTTGTAGAACGTATTCTCCGAGATCCTTCGCGACTTCTTTCGCTTCGAACGGAACGTGGCACGGAAACATGGCTCATTCTGTGTACCCTCGCTCTTCGAAACGAATCGAACAAACGCTAACGCACGATCTACGTGAAACATGTTTCTTAATTCGCGAAGGATCAACGCGTTCAATCCTCGATGGGGAGAAAGTACAACATATACACAAATACGGTTAAATACGGACAAACTTGACAAGTGTGCAAAGGATTGAACGCGCCAGAATTGACAAGCAGTTTCTCGAAGAAGGCTGCCAGCCTCGAACACGCGTTCTTCTAGAGAACTTGAGGCTCACCCCTTGCAATTTTGACTAGATAAAAGAATTGGCCGGCCCTTCGTGGGGCCACTCCAACACGCGTGGACTAGAAAACGCTCTGAATCGAGGTATCTTATTCTAATATGGCAAATTATGGCACCAAGTTCCCGGAGAATCGGACTTTCGATCGTGCGAAGTGAATACGAACATCGGGGGGGAGAACAGTTCTCGCCGTTTAAGGATCGACGGATCCGTACGATTTCTTTCGACGCGGTTCCACGATGCTGCTCGGTTTCACCCTCCCCCGCTTCCACCCACTCCTCCCCCCTGGAACGTGGTTTTCGTTTTCTCGAATATTCCTCTTCCTCCTTTCCTTTTCTCATTCTCTTTATTTCCTTTTTTTTTTCTTGAATTCACGGAGTCCGGAGTCGATGGCGAATCGATGTCGGAATTTTGAAAAATTAATCGAGTTGCAAACGACGTTTCGAACATCGAGGGAAAGTGAATGCGTCGTTTCGCGGGACGTAGCGAGGTTGGAACTGCAATATTCACGAACAAGGCTGCCACCCGTTTACTGTCGTTAAAAAATTATCACAGTGACCGTGCTTCTCGGTGCTTGGCTATAAGATAATGACGCCCAGCGTGCACGATTCTTCGAGCAGTCCTCGAGCCTGCCTGCCTCATTTCTTTCGTTTCGTTTAGTTTCGCTCCCCCTCCCGCCCCCTCTCTTGAAACGCTTGAAAACATCCCGTCTTACGAAAGTTCGAACGCGTTCGAAGCACGATCGATTACCACGAATCGAATTGATCGAGTAACCGTTCTCACGAAAAATTTCGTGTTCCACGTTCCTTACGAACAAGTCTGATCGTTTCTACGAAAGTTTGCCAGCTTGAACACTTTTACTTTTAACCCATTGAAGACCAACGTTGCGTCGACACAACGTCTGCAACTGCTTCTTCAGCCGACAAGTGTTATTTTGCTAAGTTGCTGTTATTCCGATTGCGAAAGAAGATTTCAAGAATTCAGGATCACATTCTGCAATTTTGCGACGCTTGAAAAGATTGAAGTAACTTTATTTAACAAAATTCGCTCGAACGTGATGGATATTGATTTTGTCTCCAATTTGTAATCGAATTGATCGAGTAATCGTTCTTACGAAAAATTTCGTGTTCCACGTTCCTTACGAACAAGTCTGATCGTTTCTACGAAAGTTTGCCAGCTTGAACACTTTTATTTTTAACCCATTGAAGACCAACGTTGCGTCGACGCAACTGTTTTTTCAGCCGACAAGTGTTATTTTGCTGAGTTGCTGTTATTCCGACTGCGAAAGAAGATTTCAAGAATTCAGGATCACATTCTGCAATTTTGCGACGCTTGAAAAGATTGACGTAACTTTATTTAACAAAATTCGCTCGAACGTGATGGATATTGATTTTGTCTCCAATTTGTATATAGCCTGCCTTTACAAAGTATTCATTATTTTCCCAATGGATGGTTTTTCACGCACTGTTTCCGCTCGTTTGGTCCTCAATGATTTAAAACTGATCGATCCGGGTTCCGTCTCGCGGGATCGATCGAATTCACACGAATTCACCCCTATCCTTCTCTTTTCTCTTTCTTCCAGTCTCTACGAAACATCTCAAACATAAATATTTCATAAATCTACGCGCATTGTGTCTAACAAAATTCTTCAAACAATGTAGATTCCGCTATGCGGCCGAGAATTCGTCGAATTCTTCGAACGCCAAATAATTTAGCTAAGCCAGGGCGCGGCAACAAAGAGCCGCTCGCCGCGTCGAACAATCCTCGGAATCGGGCCTACTGTCCCCGCTACGTCGTCGAAACGTGCCCTCTCTCTGGCTGAGGGCACAACAACGGCCCCTTTCCTCCCCCTCTCCCCAACCCCCGAACGTAAATTCGGAAATTTGTTTTGAAAACTGACGTTCCAGGTCAGTCGGGCGTCTCGGGTGATATCGCGAGCGTCGCGCCGCGTTAAGAAATCGCCGCCCTTACGAGAAGGGCAGATCTTCCTCGGGCGACTCGTCGTGGTACTCCTCGTGGTCGGACGTGTGTCACAAAACGTCGCTTGGTTGCCGTTGCCCGATACCTATCGTGGGCGATAGCTGTCCCTCCTCGACTGCGACGGTCTTCGGGTCCTCGTCCTTCCACTTGTCCATGGAGCGGCGTCGAGCGTTCATGAAGAAGTTGCCGACCGTGGTCGGCTCCAGGCCCAGCTGCCTAGCGATTGTCACCTGCATCTCTTTCGACGGCCTCTTGGTCTCCTGAAACGGTATCGATATCGTGAGGCTGTTGTTTCGTTGTTAACTCATCTGACTTGATTCGACGACTATATCGTGAAATTACCATCAGAGATATTAATATTCAAGTAAAAGGAACAGAAAATCTTCGCAACACTTGGTAAACAGTGTACGCAAGATTTTATTCGTGTAGAGGAATCGTAAAAATATATCTACCTTTTATGTCTATAAAGTATCTAACAAAAATATTGAAATGGCCATTTTGACCATTTTGGTAGTTTTAGTGTTAAGGGTTTTCTCATTCTGTTTATGTCATTTTAGTTCTATTGCGATAAGAATTATATTTTTCTGTGTCCCGATTCATTCAATTTTATTATCATTTCATCGTTAGTAACATTTTCGTGATATTTTTGTCGTTTAATTTAATTTTGCACTTTATAACTGTCCAATTCAGTTTAATTTGATTCTGTTTGATTTTGTAATTATTTGATTCTACTATTTTGTTCATTTTATTATTATTGATTATTATTATTTTATTATTATTATTATATTTTATTATTATTATATGTAGTTTAATTTAATCATCCTTTTATTTCATTTTATCGTTACGTATACTTCATTTATTTTATTATACATCATTCGTGGCGTCCCTATTCGATATATCTTATCTAATTTTGTTTGTTTGTCATCTTTAATTTTAATTTAGAATTTTTCGATATAAAGGTACAGAACAAAAATGATCTACACAACTAGAGATGAATAGAATGAAAGTCAGCAGATGTACAATTAATACCAAATTACCTTGCGAAACGAACATTAAATTGGGCTAGTTTAATAATCCAAGCATGCCATTCTTGCAAGAAGTAAGAAACGAACTTTCACAGTTGAAAATGTCTAACAATAATATAGAAGGAGATACATTGAGTAGATTCAAAAGACGACAGTGAATGGTTCATGATTCATACAACGAGACATAAAATTACCAGATTTGTAAACAAGCAGATTTCTCGAAGAACGTGGCTTGTTATTGGATTATAAAGACACTTATTTCCAAGATGTTTATGTTTGTGAATGTTCATATTGTCATTCATGAAGAACTTTGATTTGTGTATAGAACGTTTCGAAATTTCATTAACACTAACGAACGAGACGACGGTTATTTTGGTAAAAAGAGAAACAGATCTGAAAATATAGAAGTTACAAGATATTTATTGCAAGCATAATTATATTGTTTCATTTTCGTAAAAATTTAATAAAATTAATAAATAATATAATAATAAATAATAAATAATAAATAATAATAAAATTAATAAATAATATAAAATCAAATATATGAGTAATCATTTTAGATATATGTGATAAGCCTACACTTGTATTAAATATTTTATAATTTCTGTATACGTTACTTATTTGTCTTAAATTTGATCTCAACATAATCTTGATAATCGAGTCTCACTACAGTGTTGATGAAATTTCACAATGTTTCACGTAACATATTCAAATTCAAATATATTCAATATATTCCTATTAGATTATTAGTATAATATATTCAAAAATATTCCTATTAGAGTTTGTAAAAATAAACTTTTTTACTGTTTCGTAAAAATAAATAAAAATGTATTATTACGTTAGATTAGATTTGAACTTCAAAAATTGTCAAATTTAACTTGATATTCCATTAAATTAAATTAAACTGAGGAACAATTAACTTTAAAATTTTTTCTTCGTAAAGAAAGAAGAATGCTACGAAATCATATTAAAAATTGATGAAAAACATATAATACATTTCTCGCCTATTAAATATTATAGCAAATACTTTACTTTGAATAGTTTATACATTTTTCATTATTAAAATGTTTTGTATTCTAATTATTAGACTGTGAGTATTTATAGAAATTCACATTTTTATGAATGCAAGTAAAGAAATCAGAAATAAATTATTTTAGATACTATACACGGTTTCATCTTTACACTGAATTTCAGCTCTCTGATTATAATAGAGTGATAAATTTACTAAAATTATTAGAAATATATAGAAACTATACTAGAAAGTATACTAGGATCTTAATCTTCAGTAGTGATTTTAAAAATCTGATTCTTTTTTTAATATGAATACCTCAACAGTGATTTTAGTAGTATTTTTGCTGTATCTACACTCACAGTGTACCTGTATGTGAACAAGATTATAACATATTGCCTGCGAGAGTGCACTCTTGTTACTTTAGCCGCTTTTTATTGTATTACCCCTTGATACTGTTTTCATGATAGTTAGGTTTGCGAGAAACTCATGAAATTTTACTAGAGAACAAATATCGTATGAAAATCTTTAATTAAATCTTTACCTGGTTCTCATTCATTTAAATGACTACATTTATTATTTTATAAACTTGCAAAGATACACACTTGTAGATACCTCGTTTCTACTCAACATACCAGTCACCTCAAACACTTGACATGAAATATCAAGACTAACGTGTATGTATATTTTGAAGATAAAATTACAGAAAATTCTCGAAACGCAATGACTGGATGGAACGATATGTCTTTAAATTAGGAAATAAAATAAAAAATAAAGCTCGTAATATCGTAGTGGAATTCTAACAAATATAAAAATGGATTGATAAATTAAAATGGAATTTATAAATAAGCGTTTTGTAAGAGTTACAGGTAGAGCGTCTGTTTAAACATAAACGCCATTTATTCGAGCCAAATTTTAATCAGTATTCGATTGAATGAATTCTTGCTGATTGAATCCACTCGTTTAAATCTGTTGTACGAACAAAAAGTCACTAATAGAATCATTGAACTTGGATCACACAAACCATTTATCCCCCGATAGTAAGTTCATACAAACGAGTACTGCTTATAATACTTTTAAAAACAAATCTATCGTCTATCAAATCTTTATGACACTTTTCAATATTGCGATAATAACGATTAGTAAAATTGCATTAGCAATCAAAATCACATCAGCGTAAGTGATAACATACAGTCCAGAATCTACGTCTAATCCTATGAATTAAGAAATATTATTCAGGATAAGATGTTGGATAATAGAACACGAAGATTTATTCCTTCTTTGATGTAATTTATTCAGCGGCGATCCAAAGTCGAACCGGTTTGAGTATTCCCGATAATTGAATAAATAAAACACGGATTAAAAGACCATGGGTTCGTCGGGTTCGTTTACGAACGATACGATCGACTTAGTAAATTAAGAAGCCGAGTTTGTTTATTTCAGAAGCACGACGGCGTATTTTCAGTTTGATTAGCCGATTAATGAATTAGAATCCAAAACGGTTTGATCGTCGTTAAGATCAATGGATATTCACGGGATAGCTTCTGGGATTTGCCAATGGGTTTTCAGTCTTTTTCGGCGTCTTTCGGTCTCTGCTGTTCGATCAATCGCCGCTCGCTGTTCTATCAATATCTACTATATAACCGATCCGATCCGATTCGTTCGCAAAAGAAGAAAAAGAAAAAAAAAAAAAAAAAGAAAGGCCTGGTGTTAATTAAAACTTAAAGAACAATAGCCGCTGAAACAAAGATAATTTCCGGCGAAAGAATCCACCGTCGACGTTTCTCGAAGCTCGCTTCGAACTTGAGAGGAGTGGAGGAGGCCGAATCTTAATAAATAAATATCAATGGAGAAAAAGCGGCAGCATTCCGACGCTGCGTTCTCGATAGACCTTTTCGCCGAGTGAACGCGCCAAATAGGAAGCTCTGTGCACCGACAAGCACTTGCCTTTTTCCCTCTTTGACTTCTTCCCCCGCTAAATTAATATTCATCCCTTCTCTGTCGGCGCATCTCAACCTACAAATCCACCACTCTGAATCGAGAAGTCGAAAGCTGTCTCTCGCTCGCTCGGTACTTATTTTTGTATTCCGCGAAGCGGGCCACGTTGCCGGAACCGGAAGGCTCGAGGCAAGAAAACGGGCGGTCCGATCGCGGACACGGCTAATGGTAAACATTTCTGTACATGTGGTAAACGGGCTGGCACGCTTTCTTCCCACGCGACGTTTCTTACTCGACGTAGGTCGATCAATAACACGGACCGAGCAGCTCGAATGAGTGAGTGAGAGAGAGAGAGAGAGAGAGAGAGAGAGAGAGAGAGAGAGAGAGGAGGGAGGGTATCGATTGCTCGAAGGAACAATTATTACAAACCGATGGCCCAATGCGCGTGCACTAGAACGCAATAATTAACGCGTTATGTGCGAAACGCAATCGTTTAGCCTGATGAAACCGATCAAATTAGGATGCTCGATCCGACACGAATTACGCTTCTCTGTTCCCTCGTGTCGACTTAACCCTCTCCCCCGCTTTTTTGATCGTTACAGAGAGGAAATGGCGCGAGGGAAGGACGAAGCGGGGGACGATAATTTAATGAAGATGGTTGAATCGTTTGATTGAGTCTCGCGTGCTAGGATTTTTGGGGACGGAACGACTATTGTTTTCCACGAATAGGGATTAATCGGGGTTAATCGTTTCATGTGCTTAATCCACGAGGGTTACGAGGGAGGCTTTACTTGCGAAATATGATTTAACATCGTTAGGTTGCTGGATGATCGATGTAACGCTGCAAAAAATTCTGCCAGCTGATTTGAACTAGACAATTTTTAACAATTCGAACGATTTGTTTTTCTTCTTACGACTTGGGTGTAGTAGCTCGTGTTGAATTTCTCGAGTTTCTTATTTATGTATGTTCAGCTTTATTTAAGAAATTGATAATTAGGAAAGGATGAATCTTTTAGTTTGAAATGGAAAATTATTAATAATTCGATCGTTCAACGACAAGCTTTCATGTTGATAGATAATAATTTGCTTTGAACTTCTCGCGCTTTATTAAAAATATTAAATTACTTCTCACTGAATCTTAGCATCTCTCTTACTGATTGCCACAATTTCATCAAGTAAAATAACGACATCCCCATTTTACATACATAACTCAATTTTACATTTAAAATTGATAATTCTTTGCACGTACCAATTATTATTATCAATTGCAACAGATGTCCCGGCTCCA